TTCTATGGACCTGTCGTGCAATGAAAAATAGTTCGGCCGCTTTGCACTCACTAGGAAGATTTGTCGATACACCGAAAAAAGACAAACTCAGAACCGAGAAGTGTGAGTTTGCTACGTCCAAAGCACCACCCTAAGCTCGAGGCAGCCATTTTTGTCAATGATACGTTTGAAGGTAGAAATCTACCAAGTGATCATCGTAAATGGAAATTTCTACATCAGACTTGCTATGATCCAGAACAACTGGACCAAGGGGGAAGCCGCCTTCGCTCATATATGTTTGCTAAATTCACCTGGTCAGTCGAATTTCCGGATTTCTTGGGTTGCATTTACCTTCAATGTTCTCCTTAACATCCTACAGCAAATAGAGATAGCTAATTGCAAGCCGTTTCACCGGTGCTGCTGCTTGTTTGAGTCTGGGCCGCAAGTGATAGCCACATATATGCTTTCGCTAAATCTTTCGAAGGCATACTCTGCGGCCTTATGACACTTCGAGTCGAATTTACTATCATAAAGCTTTCGCCCAGCGTATTCAGGGTTGTTTGATGATACCAACGTGCCCCGGTATTTTAGGGCCGTAAGAACCACGCTTAGTAAGCGTGGTAATCTTCATGCGCGCTAATAGAATATGCAACAACTTGAAAGGGTGATTGATCTACACGACGATATTTTTCGTATACCCTAAAGCTATATATCGTCCTATGGCCAGGTCGAGATCAGTCGATAATTTATGGTTTCTAATTTTCATTGCTACGGAGAGAAATTACACACTGAACAAAAGCTTCGAGGCCATGCAGGAAGTGGTACAAATACACAGAATTTGAGACTGGTACGTCTCGTATTTTATATTGTTGGTTTAACGATATAATCATGACCGCTTCGCATCCTTCTGCGATATCTTGATTTCCAATGCTTCCTGTTTTGCGGCTTGTTCCCTTTGTTTCTCCTGCTGTTCTTGCTTCTCCTTGGTTAAGTCTCTCTTCTTTAGCATCACATATGCTCCAGATGACTGTTCAGCCGGCAAAGCTTGGACGACTGCACTCACTGTTCCTTCCCTTTCATCCTTCAGGTTCTTCCTCATCTTCCTTGTCAATTCAAGATCGTGCGAGAGAAATCCGTGTCCAGCGACTGGACCGTAGTACGATGTCCCGGCGAGTGAACCGATAATACACGTTCCAACAAGGATGGACAAGTAGAATCGGTACTGAGAGTACCACGCTGGTGTCCAACCCATGCCAGAAACAGTGGCGTCAGCCCACCATAGACCGGTGAATCCAACCCATTGTACGAGAAGAGCAGTCATTGGTTGCAAAGCTAGTGTAGGCCAAGCAAAGAAGATGGGCGTAGACGGTAGCACCGAGCAAGAGGCGACGGATAGACTCCGACTGAACCGGGCGAGGTTTAGCGAATTCCACCATGTGGTTCTTGTACGATTCCTTCCGTCGGCTCACTGAAATCCGCAATGGTACTAGTCCCACAAGGGGCGCACAAGGGTGGTTCTTCGCGTAGCTTCTCTTGATTGATGATTTCTTTATTGGCAACCCATCAAGCTATACCAGGTCAAGCGAAAAGATATAACTATCAGGATAGCGATACTTACATAGTCCCCTCATCCTTCTTCCGACACACTCAACTTCGTTATATACTCATACACTTTGCGCTGGTCCGGTATGAACTTTACCATGCACTTGTGCCTTCTTCTAATTTCTTACTTGGTGTCACGATAGCTTTTGCCTCCTGTTCTTACTCTGGTAGTTTAGACCTGGTAGCAAATTTCTGCAACTTCTCGGTATGTTCCGAATTTCATTGCAAGTTCTCTGGCCTATACTCAACGAAATGACTAGACAACTAAAAAAACATTCCGATTTGCACTCCATATTCTACCTTCGTTCCTTTTCAGCATTCGTTGGACACTCACGACGGATCGTAACCCTGGTACGTTTTTGAACTGTACTTGGGATATCTCCCAGTCATATTTACGATGGTCACACTGTGAAGTAGATTTGACCTACCCCGCCTTCGAACGTCTCTTGTCTAAATCATTTGGAAAATGTTCTTCACGGTCACTACTTCACGCTTGTTCACTCTACTCTACCTTTGCGTGAGTATGCTGACAGCGTCTGGGTCACCTTTGCCCCCCCTGATCGCGTGAAACCCTTCGGACCCGAAGTATCTGCTGGATTCCGCCCCGAATTGAAACTTCAAGTTGGGTATTGTGTTCGTCAACTGGCACAGTCCTCGATGCCAGTGGGACACATGGTTCTAGCTATTGACGATTTGATCGTTGAAGCAGTCTGGGCTGATAGGCCCGCATGCACCCGACTGGGCCCCAAGAAAAGTCCACTCAAACCTGACAGCAGCACTTACGATTGGTTTCCATTGGGGAAAGCAAAGTTCGAAAGCAAAGAGCTGGCTTTCGAGGCTTTGCTTTCCATAAAAATGCCCCTATTCAAAGAGACAGGTGGAAAATGTATGGATTACGTTGAATCCGCGTTGAAGACGCTGGCGGAACGCAATGAACTTCTGAGGCCCGCTTCTGTTATGGAGAAATTCGAGGAAAGAAAAAAGATCTTCGTGACACTCATGACTGGGCAACAAAAGTGATAGCCTTTGCCAAAGGGGAAGGGGGGGGGGCAATGCCAATGCCGATGTTACTAGTGATTGTCGATGGCACCACAACTATAGAATATCTGTTTAGGAGTACCCTCGAGTACCTAGCTTCACACTTTTTGACAACGAAAATGATGACATGCGGATGCGAAGATAGCCTTCGGAACAAGTAATAGCTAAGCGTAAGTGAGTACAGCTGCCCATGTCGGGTTGTAGCTACAAGAACGAGTTACCAACATTTTCGTGTATTCCTCAAAAACATCTAGCCGGTCTTTCTCTTCTTCCTTCTACCACCTTCCGTTGCCTCCGCCTCCCTCTTATCCCTCTTCCCACCTGTTCCGACATTCCTCATAACCTCCTTCTTCCTCTCTTCACTCTTCTCTTCTTCCTTCCTCCAGTGGTCAGGGAAGGATCACCACCTATAGCTTCGAAATCCACGAAATCACCACCACCTTCATCATCATCGCCTTCGCCTTCTTCACCGTCTCCGCCTGCTTCGTCATTACCATCTCCATCAGGGGTATCTACGCCAGGGTCGACTCGGAGTGAGTCGGAAACGACGGTGTTGGACGATTTTTTGGTGAAGAAGAATTCATCGTCTTCTGCTGCTGCTATTTCTGGTTTTTGCGCTTCGGCAGCTAACGAAGACGAAGGTTGGGATAATATTTCTTCTGGAGAGAGATCGCTAGAATATATATCCCTGACCCAGTCTCTTCGTGTTCGTTAGTAAGCGTGGTAAACTTCGTGATCTACACGATCGCTACGATATTTATCGTATACACTAAAGCTATATATCGTCCTATGGCCAGGTCGAGATCATTCGATAATTTATGGTTTCTAATATTCATTGCTACGGAGAGAATTTACACACTGAACAAAGGCTTCGAGGCCATGTGGGAGTACATGTAGGAAATACAATTTGAGTCCGGTACGTCTCGTATTTTATATTGTTGGTTTAACGATATAATCATGATCGCTTCGCGTCATTCTGCGATTTCTTGATTTCCTCTGCTTCCTGTTTTGCGGCTTGTTGCCTTTGTTTCTCCTGCTGTTCCTGCTTCTCCTTGGTTAAATCTCTCTTCTTCAGCATCACATATGCTCCAGATGACTGGTCAGCCGGCAAAGCCTCGACGACTCCACTAACTGTTCCTTCCCTTTCGTCCTTCAAGTTCTTCCTCATCTCCCTCGTCAATTCAAGATCGTGCGACAGAAATCCGTGTCCAGCGACTGGACCGTAGTACGAGGTCCCGGCGAGCGAACCGATGATACACGTTCCAACAAGAATGGACAAGTAGAATCGATACTGAGAGTACCACGCCGGTGTCCAACCCATTCCAGAAACAGTGGCGTCAGCCCACCATAGACCGGTGAATCCAACCCATTGTACGAGAAGAGCAGTCATTGGTTGCAAAGCTAGCGTAGGCCAAGCAAAAAAGATGGGCGCAGCACCGAGCAAGAGGCGACGGATAGACTCCGACTGAACCGGGCGAGGTTTAGCGAATTCCATGCCCCAATGAAGTGCACCGAGGAAGGAGAGCATGACGGCTCCATACGTTACTTGAATGTTTAACGCTTGATCGAGCATAGTGAGCGCCACACCCGGATCGATCGAAGTTGGATGACCAGCTGCAGCGGCACCAGCGACACTGGCGAGGTATACAGTCGTCGCTCCTGCTCCAACGTACGGCACAGTGCCGAGAAGACCAAACGCCAAGACTGGCTTAGGGACGGATGAAGCGAGTGAGGAAGTGATAGCCACGAACGAATGATCGGAAGCAGAAATGTTTCCTCCTGCAATAGTTTTCGCGATGTCTGCCGCACTGTTGCTGGCTTCTTCGCGAATGTTTACCGCGGCGTGGTCAAAGGTTTGGGAGGCGGGTCTGTTGGAGACTGTGGAAGCAACGGTACGGACCAATATGGAACGACGAAGGGCTTGATACTGAGTTAAGGATCTGGGATTGGCTGAAGGGTGATTTAGCGATGAGGAGAGGGTGGAAAGAGTGGCGATTGATGTTGGCGTATGCATCGTAGCTGGGCGAATGAGGCTGGCTCGAGCGAATGCTGCCTTGGTGGGGCCTCTCGTGAATCGAGAGAGAATGGAAATCATTGCTGAGATGGGTATAGTGTATTCACGCTGTAAATGAGATCTATTCGTTACAGGGTAAACTGCATGTCAGTGTTTATATCATGTCTCGCGACTGACGTCAGGTCTTACCTTTCTTCCTTCGTCTCCAGTTTCAGTCAATAACAACAAACTCCAGACGTCATTAACCAATGTTATACATTCAATGCTCAAATTACTTCTGCCCCACTCAAATTAAACGTCTCTGCAGGAGCTTCGAATATTCAGGATCATTTTTCTCGAACTCTTACGCCGAGCAACAATGCACGCCTCCTCCTTAGCTCAGTTGGTAGAGCGCGTCACTCGTATGAAGTTGAGATGACGAGGTCAGTCGTTCAAGTCGGCTAGGGGGAATGTTGTTTTCGCGATCCAATCAGCTTGTTGTTTACATTTTATTTTCTTGTTGCTGTACTCATTACCTTGCTACGGCGGACGAGCAGTGGCATGTGAGAGTATCGGTTTGGCTTGCTTACCATTCTTACTTTTTTCGCCTCCTGGTTCAAAGGAGAAATACGCGGCTGCATCTGCTCAGACCTCCTTTTTGAATTTCGCAACTCTGCTAAGCTCATGCACACTTCAAGTCCCATTTACTTCCGTCAGCTCACTGAAATCTCGCATCAATGCTTGCATCTCCTCAAAGGCAGGGAAGTGAGAGGGATTTTGGGCGCAATAAGTGATGTATTCTGGAGCTCTCGAGGCTAGCCCAAATGGGAACAGCCTTAAGCCAAGTTACAGGAGACAAACGAGATGAAGTTGTATGTAGGTAGATTAGTGAAATATGTGTATGAGGGAGGAGGGAGGGTGAATTAAATGTAATCATACGAAACCGCTGCGAGCGATGGTGAGAGGACAGAGGGACCTTCGCCACGCTGCAGGTTTATCTTATGCTATGCTATTTAGGACAAACTTCAAAGTGTAGTTGAGATAAAGAAAAACGTGGACTCGTCGCTGCGTCATAGACCATGACCATACACAAATGGTCAAACCAAAGAGTACTATAGTCCACATGGCAGAAGGGTGGCTGTTCTTCGCGTAGCTTCTCTGCATGAGTGATTTCTTCACTGATGTACCTGCTGTATTTGTGTTTGAGGCAGGTTAGTGCTGAGGGATTTATTCCTTTGCACATCGTTACCACTCCCTTGGTCTGGGATTCCACATGCATGAGGTGTTTAATCCATATACTGTGTTTCCATGGCATGCTCCTTGAGTTGTTATTGCTTCTACTCCAATCGTTCTATTCCTTCTGAATGGTACTGCAGATGATTCTCCCCAGTGACCAGCTACACTACTAGTATTAGCACTAGCTATCCTTCTGTATCATCTGAGAACAGGTAGAGGTAACACAAAGGACTGGTTTTAGTGCAACACTGGGAGCAGTTAATAGGCGCTTCGGATGGACTCTCACCGCCTTGGCTGACTCATTATTCTCTGAAGAGTCGCCTCATCTTATCTGAGATCTCGGAGTTTGAGTGGCTACCCTTTGCCTCCTGGCCCTCTACTGCACGAACTCACTTTCTTTCGCTATACAGCCACCGAAAAGCACTGTAAATTTAAAGCTATCGTTGTTTTGATTGCGTCAATTCTTGTTCAATGATGGGACCACGTTGGTGTTGTGTGTCGTCTATGCTAGGGGCTCGCTTTGGTGGTGCCTTTCCTGATGACAATCTCAATACCTCATCAGCCCATCGCCCATCTCCGAGCTCTCACAATTTCGCGTGCTTAATCGCTCTCTAACAGGTTCATGAATCATGGGTCTAGCCTGGCATTTAACCGGTATGTGGCAAACTTGAATTATTTTCTTACATGCGGAATAACGCATTGATATTGTGACTGCAGAAAAAATGCATTCAGGACGAAGTGTAATCGAGACTGATAATTTATGCGACGTCCCAAAGAAAGAACAAGGACAATTCCGGCTTGTGCGAGTTCACATTGTTGCCTTCCGTCGGCTCACTGAAATGCACGCAAGATGGACACCATAGTCCACACGGCTCTCGATTGATGATTTCTTCATTGGCAATCATCAAGCTATCTCAGGTCAAGCGAAAAGATATAAGTATCAGGGCGTGATGAAAGATAGTCCCCTCATCCTTCTTCCAACACACTTAGCTTCGTTATATACTCGTACACTTTGCGCTGGTTCGGTATGAGCTTTACCATGCACTTGGTCTTCTTCCAATTCCTTACTTGGTGTCACGATAGCTTTTGTCTCCCGTTCTTACTCTGGCAGTTTAGACCTGGTAGCACATTCCTATTGATTTTTGCAACTGCTCGGTATGTTTCCGAGTTTCATTGCAAGTTCTTTGGCCTTTACTCAACGCCGATGGGACTAGATAACTAAAAAAAACATTCCGACTTGCACTCCATATTCTGCCTTCTGTTTTAGCAATCGTTGGACACTCACGACGGATTGTGACCCTGGTACGTCTATCGAACACTTGGAATATCTTCTGGTTATATTTACGCCGGTGGTCACACTGTGAAGTAGATTTGACCTACCCTGCCCTTGAACATCTCGTGTCTAAATCATTCGGAAAATGCTCTTCGCGGTCACTACCTCACGCTTGTTCACTCTACTCTACCTTTGCGTGAGTATGCTGACAGCATCTGGGTCACCTTTGGCCATTCATGGCACGACTTACTTCGATGGAGACCGTGTGGACGTTGACCTCGGTTTTGAGGTATTCGAAAATGCGGAGATCAGCCACGCGTTTCTAGCGATTGGCGATACGATGATACATGCAGACTTTTTTAACATGGCACGCAAGCAAATGGTCCCCAAAAAGATTGTAGTGAAGACGCAAGAGGACACAACAAGGCGCGATAGCCATTGGGCTCATTTAGGAAAAGCAAAGTTCAAAAGCCCAGCCGATCAACAGCAGGCTTTGCAGGCTTTGCTTTCCATTAAATTGCCTCCGTACAAAGAGACTGGTGGAAAAGCTTGGGATTACATTCAATCTGCGTTACAGACCCTGAAGGAACGCGGTGAACTTCTGAACCCCGATGCTGTGGTAGAGAATTCCAGGCGGGAGAAGGAAGAACTAGAAAGTCACCTTGCTTCCCGTAGAAATGATTACGTACAACAAGACTGGTACTAGAAATGTCAGGATTATCTTGCAATTGTGATGGAAAACCCTTGAGGGACGCAATGAACTTGAGGCCCTCGCTACTGTTATAGCGAATCTCTCGCATCTCATACTGGAAGAAGCTATTGGTCTCGATGGTGGTGATGCCCAATGACGATGTTACCAGTGATTGTTTGCCAGTGGCCCACAACTATAGAATATCTGTTTAGTAGTACCCTCGCTTCACACTTTTTGACAACGAAAATGATGACATGCGGATGCGAAGAGAGCTATACAGCCCTCATAAGATAGCCTTTGGACCAAGTAGTAGCTCAGCGTGAGTAAGTACAGCTGCCAAATGTCGAGGTTGTACATCAGTGCTGCATGAACGGATTACCAACATATAGTATGATATCTGCACGTCTTTCTCTTCTTCCTTCTACCACCCTCCATTGCCTCCGCCTCCCTCTTATCCCTCTTCCCACCCATTCCGACATTCCTCATGAACTCCTTCTTTTCCTCTCTTTCCTTTTCCGTCTTCCTCTCTTCACTCTTCTCTTCTTCCTTCCTCTTTCTCTCTTTCCCTGCCTCCTTCTTCTCCTTCCTCCTCTGCACTTGATCTTTCCTTAATGCACGAGTTTGCTGTAGCAATGCCACCGCCCGTTTTTCTTCTGGTTCGAGAACCACTGCACGCTTTTGAAGATAGTTTTGTCTTCTCTTGCCGTCGCTACCACTTCCGCCTTGCTTCAGCATGAGCTTCGGCTTGCTTTTATACGGTAGTTGCTTCTGTAAACCCTTCGGTATGACTAATGGTGCAAATCTTCCTTTCTTTTCCGTTCGTTGTTGCTCAATTCCAAGTTTGTGCCTGTACGTCGAGTTCACGTTTAATGGAGTCTTGATACCGAGCGAGCGACGGACGGTGCCGGTTAAACGCATCCCAGTCCACGTTTGTTTTGTTTCAATTGGTGTTTCATCAGCGTCCGATGGTGAGTTTTGGGCTTGGGAAGGTAGAAGAAGAGAAGTGACCGGTGCGTAGAATTTTCGTGGTTGTACCGAGTACCATGCGCGGAGGAAGACTATGTCTGTGAATAGATAAGAGAGTGAGACTTTGAGCAGAGCAAAAAGATAAAAGTTCAACTCGCCACTCATCAGCAACTTATCCTCAAACGCTGCCCTAAATGCACCATCTCCTCCTTTTCCTCCCTTCCGTTTTCCATCCCCACCTAAGCCTCCTGCACTGACAGCCTTCTTAACCACACCTCGAACCCCACTAACCGTCTTCACACTCGCTCCCTCAAACTTCGCGACCTCCAACGCACTACTGAACATCCCCTTAATGAAAGCCGTGTTTTTGAATATCTTGAACGGCGTTCCCGTCAATTTAAGCTTTTTGACAATCTGAGAAGTGCTAGCGAGGGAAAGGACGACGCCAGTGGCAGAGATTCGAAACCCTCCTGTTTCTGCGCCGTCAGCGACCGTATTGAACGCACAAAACCCAGTATTAGGAAGCACCCCAGGCCCCCAAAATGTTCCATAACAATGCATGTGTTCCGGTGTGTACTTGAGCATTCGCATCCGAATACTATGATCGTCCAATGAATAAATCGGTATTGTTTGGAATCTTCTCCATCCCAGACTGACGATCAACGGTCTTCAACGGTCGTGACCGTCGTGTGAACCAGCGACGCCTCTTCAGCCTCACTTGAACGAAATTGAACGAGGATGGTTGAGAGGAATGCGATTCGGCGGGGAGTAGACCACCTAGGAGGAGCGGGTACGCTGGATCGAAGTATTGTATAAGCTCAGCTGGCACCGAAGACAACACAATTCGAACATAAGTCCCTGTGATGTATTCCTCGAGCTGAGCGCGCGCTTCTAAAAGCGCCTTTGCCATCTTCCTCATCCCCATCACCTAAATCTGAATCACTCTCTACAAAATCCACATCCGGTAGTGATGACTTGTTCGCAGACAAAGACGACGGAAAAGAACGATTGGGACGACGAAGTTGCGAACGACCAGTGTTTCGAGGGTCTGCTCCTGGTCATCTTCAACGCCATCGCCAAACGTAGCTAGGTTTCAATCATCGTATACATCGAATTTTCCAATCATCAAAGGTTTCTCCGACGACCGAAACCGTCTAATCTTTATTTTCAGTAATAGGTTTTTGAACAGATTGCACCTGGTTATTGCCAGCTTAAAACTTTATAGACTGGCTTGTGAATGGACATTGTCTTGCTGAAGAGAATGAATTTTGTGTGGTATTCTTTGTGTCTTTGTTTTCTATCGTC